CTGGGAAGACCCAGGGTCAGCGGCTCAGCTCAGTTCCTCCTTGGGAATGGGCAGGAAGGACAGGCAGACTGACTGTTCATCAACACCTGAGGCCAGGCCCCAACACCCATGTACAGCCTCCCTGTTTGTCAGCTGGTCTGTAACATCTGCCCCGACAATCCATGTGATGACGAAGAAACAGAGAGACCCAGCTCTGCCGGAGACAGTCTGTCAGAGTTCATGAATGAACAACTAACTGAGTGAATGGTGAAGATTCATTTAACCAACAAAAAACAGAGAGACCCAGCTTTGTCAGAGACAGTCTGTCAGAGTTCATAAATGAACAACTGAGTGAATGGTGAAGATTCATTTAACCAACAAATATTTACTGAGCACCTACTAGGTGCTCCGCACTGTGCTGGGGACATGGCAGTGACCAGGACAGCCTCAGCCCAGGCCTCAATGATAATAGAGCCCAGTGGGGGAGACAGATCCCAGACAGACAGAGCTAGGAAGGGGATTCTGGGGGAGGGAGAACTGACCCAGCCTTGGGATCAAAGGGTTTCCTGGAGGAGGGGACATAGGAGCTAAGACCTGGAGGAAGAGAGTATGAGCCAGAGCAAGCAAACAGAAGAGTGGTCCCCGCAGGAAGAGCACATAGGAGGATCTGAAGACAAGGAAGGATGGGAGAGACCCTGAGGTGGTTGGCATGGGCTAGGTCATGCCGGGCCTCGTGGACCATGGTGAGTGAGAAGTTTCAATGCAGAATGCCAGAGAATTGAGAGGGGGAGTCAAGCTAAAAGTCCCCAGTCTGGATCATTCTGCTTTCCTGAAACGCCACAGACACCTCCTCCAGGCGGCCTCCGGGATTGCTCAGTGGGGAACTGGCCCAGCCAGCCAATAACACTCACCATTCAGTGTTGGGCACCAAGAAGCCCGCACTTACTGACCAGCCTGGCTCTACCCTCACAGAGATCAGAGTCACCACAGCAGGATACACACCCTCACATGCATACCCTGCGCCTCTCCCACCTCAGAAACACTTGCGACTTGTCTCTTGGAGCCGAAGCCTTGGCATCACCCAAGGGCTTGCTGGAAATGAAAAAGACCACACCAGATCTGCACCGTAACCAGATCCCCAGTGAGAAGCACGTTAACAGCTGAGAAGCACTGATCTCAGGCTTAACCTCTCTGTGCCTCAGTTTCCTTTTCTGTATAATGGGAATAATAACAGAACTTATTTATGGGGTCGGTGTGGTGTGAGGATTAACCGAGATAATGCATGCGGAAGCTCTGAGCGCAGCTTCCTCAGCGTTTTGCTTTCAGAGCCATTGTCCTCCTCTTCATTTTTATTGAATTTCAGAGCCCATCATCATCCGAACTTCTTGCTCTGTGGATGGGGAAACTGAGGAACAGTGTAGCAGCGGTTTTGCCAGAGCAAGGGTGGAGGACGTGCTGGGGCCTGCCTTCGGCAGAGTCAGCCCAGGGCTGTTTACAGGATTCGCTGAGCAAGCTGATTTGGCACTGCCACGCCAACTCTCACCTACGGGGGCAGAAGGCTGAGGGTTCTCCCTGCCTGCTCCTCACGCAGAGCCCTAGGGAGTCAGAGCAAGGGTGCTGCCCTCTCCCCCACACCCCAGTTCTCTTTCTCCTGGAAGCTCCCCAGGTTGAGCACCATGGAGAAAAACTTGCCTTGCCCACTTCATGTTCTGCGGGCGGGTGTACATGTCTGCGTGTGCGTGTTTGAATGAGACTCGTGCGTGTGTGTGTGTGTGTGTGCGCCTTCAGGGCCAACTTTTCCTTAAGCACAACAGGCACAGTGCCAGGGCCCATGACAATGTTCAATTTCTTTTAAAATCAGAAGAGAAAGCTGAACTTTTTGGTAAAAGAAATTGTTTTAATATGTGATGTTATGTGTTTTTATACCAATGCAGTCGTGAAATGTAATTTTAAAGATGTCTGTGGAGGAAGAGGCCCACGAAGTCAAAAGTGCCAGAGGATCATGAAAGTTACAATGCATTTTGTGTGTCTCTGCTTCCAGTGACATCTCTCAGAGGGTCTATGTCTGCAAAGATCAGGGTGGCTTTGTTTAGGTAACAAAAGAAGCCCCTGCAATGTGTTAGGCGTGTTCTAGGAGCTTCGATAATATTCAGGTAATCCTCCCATCAGCCCCATGAACTGGGCACTACGCTGTCCCCGTTCCCAGACAAGAAAATTGATGCTCCAGGCATTAGTTCAAGTTCACTCAGCCACTACGTTCTGGTGGGGCCAGAACGCAAGCCCAGGCTGCCTTAATTTGGGGGGATCTGCCAGTAGGGGGGGGGTCAATGCCCAGTGTCTGCATGAGTGTGACCATCTGCATGTGCATATACTGATATACATAATTCATTTTAAGGTCATTAGAATCCCAGACTGAAGTCCACGTGCCACATTCTTAGCCCAGTTCTGCCACTCATTTGCTGAGTGACTCTGGAGAAGTGACTTCACCTCTCTGGGCCTCTGTTTCCTTGCCTGTAAAATGATAGGTCCTATCTCATAGGAGTGTGATAAGAATTAAATAAATTAATATAAGCACTCATGAAGAATTAGCCCTTGTTATCATGTGTAAAGAACATCCACGTGGCCCTGTAGCGAAGGTGCGCGTGTCACGTGTGTTGGTAACCATGTGATGATGTGTTTCCGTGTATGTGTGAGAAGCTGCTTTTTCGTGTGGCCATGTGTGTTGCCGCTTGTGGGTGAATGTCCAAATGTCTGAGTGTGACCCTGGGAGTAGGTACCAGTGGCTGTGCTTGGGCCGCCTGAGCTGGGTTGTGACGGTCTGTGGGCAGCCAGGCTTGGTGGTTGTGCCTCCTTCATTTTGTGGGAGAGGAGATGAGGGGCTCGGACAGGGCAGGGGAACGAGGGCTCACTCCCTGTCTGATGCTGGGGCCGAGTCACTGCCTGCTGATGGTTGCTGTGTCATCTCCTAGTCTTTGTCCCTACTTCCAGACTGGTGGCAGACAGAGGGGGCGTAGAGAAACGAGGCAGAGGGCAAGCCTGAGGCTGGGCTTTTGTCTGGAAACTTCCACGTCCCCATATTGCCCCCCATGTCCCTCCAGCGTTCCACATGTCCCTATCCCCTCCCCACTATCCAGACAGAGAATCGAGACTTTCCTGCGAATCAGGAACGACCTCTTCCTGCTTTGCCTCAGACCTGCTGTGTGACTCTGAGCCAGATCTTCCCCTTCTCTGGGCCTGTGGGAGTCAGTAGTTTTAAAGTGCTGCTCCCTCGGCGCCCAGGGCCGAGTCAGGCTCTGCACTCGGAGGGGAGTGCCAGGATGTGAGATTTGTGAAGCAGCTGGTGGGTTCCTTTCCATTGGGTGCTTTAGAGTTGGGCCCGTGGCTTCCAAAATACCCACATTAGCCTCTCGAACCCCAGTCCCTAACTGGGCGGCCTCAGGTAAGCAGCTTTACCGCTCTGAGCCTGGATTATCATAGTGTAACTGAACAGACAGTATTGGGTTTGCAAGGCTTATAGCTCTGGAGGACTGGAAGCTGCTATTATCGTCATTGTCATTTAAACAGTTTTTTCAGGGAGTTTCACTGAATCAGGCAGCTCTCAGAAATCGAGAGAGCAGGAGTTCTGGAGTTTGAGAATTCTGGGTTTGATTGTCTTGCAATGGGATCTTGGACATGTCACTTAACCCCACCGGGGACCATTTTCCTCTTTTATAAAATGAAGATTTCCCTCCCTTAACCCTTGAAAGTTGTTTTAAGGATTACAAATCTTGTATTGAAAGGCTTGGCACAGGATCTAGAACTTGGTAATTGTTAAATACATAGCACTAATAATAATAATAATAATAATTAATAACTATTATTATTACTATT